GCTAATGTCTGTTGGGTTGGGAGGATTGGTCTAACTCATGGCACTTTCGGTGAAGCACCATCAGTTAGACTAGGGAACTGCACTTCTGTCTGTGCCTTCTATACCTAGAATCAGTTGGATAAAGTTCACAGTGATATTTCCCCTACTACTCATTTCTGAAGAGAAAAGAAGGGCAAGCATATAGGTGTGGGCAAGGAATTTCTTTAAAAAGTAAACAAGAAAAATGAGTAAATTAAATAGATTAGGAAGAAAGGAGGTGAGTCACTAACCCAATATCATATTGTTTGATTAATACTATTACAAAAAGTCATTTTGAATGCCAGAATAACCAATCTAATGTCCATTAACTTTAGTTTACAGGACATATTTTACATTAGAAGGCTGAACTTTCCCTTTCAGATTGTAAAATTGTCAATGATCTGGGCCTGACCAACAGACAATTACAGTATTTACTTACTCATCATTCAGAAGCATGAGTAGTGCAACTCAGCTCTTTTCTTCCTTAGGTTACTCTGTTGCCCTTGTGGGGAACTCCACCAAATTAAAAGTTTACACTACAGCATCACAGCTGGGTCAGCCAGGCACCACCTTCTTCCATATCATTTGCATACTACAATCCTATTAGTCAAAATGCCTTAAGCTCTTCAAGCACACAGCCAAAGGAGGAGCCAAGAAACTTTTACAGTGTTTACTTTTGTTTTCTTCAGATTATGAAAAGTAGAAATATTTTAATTACACAGTTTGGTCCTAACACACAATTGGTTTCATTCTCTCCGAAACCATTCAGCGTTTCCTGCTTGACTATGCAAGCAGGAAGGACAGGAAGCAGGTTTAGGAGCTCTCGATAAAAGGTTGGGCAGAGTTTCCATCCTAAGCCACCCTGTACAGATATACACGCAGTTTCTCAACCCTAACCCACAGCAGCTTCCGCTAATGTGGACAAATACATTCTCTTCTCATTCTTCCTCCTTCTAAGGACAAATCAGACAAGGCTCAATATTTAGAAAATTTTAAATACTAAGCTCAAAAGTAGGAGGAGGTTATCTCCCCCAGCTTACAGAGAGCAAAGTGGAAGAACTTCAGCTAATGACATTCCTAAGCTCACATGCTTAGTAGCAGAGATGGACCCAAACCCAAGTCTAAGCTGGGGCCCTCACATGTCTGCACCCTTTTCTCCCTTCACTAGACTCCAGAGTTATTACTTCATAGTTCAAAAGTGCCAGTGCAGAGCTCGGGGCCATGGACTCAGACAACCTTGCACTAAGTCCAAGTTAAAGGTTTTCTTTGCAAGCATAAGCTTTCTTTTTTAAAAGTATCTAGATTGCAGCAGAATATGAAATTCAAGTTATCAATGAAATGCCTGCCCAACTCTGCAACAGGAGCTGAGATGGACCTGCGATTCCATCCACCTTAAGACAATAATACTATCATCCAACTACACCCTTTTTATGTTACCATCCATTGCACTGCTGATTAAAAAATGGAAGGAAGAAAGACCTTTGTATGAAGATCCATATGACTGGCACCTTATTTTGGTGTCAATTATGCAGAATTCAGAAGACTACATTTTCCCTTCATGTGAATACTGCATCTTCCCCCCTTCTCCCCCACGCCATCTACCCCCTCCACAAAATGTCAGAGTTCTTCCTGCTTACTCCCATACACATCCATCTTTGTCACTTGTTTCTGCACACTAAAGCAGATACCATCATGCCTCTTCTTGTAATCTATTATATACAAACACACACACACCACGAACCCTCTTCCTCTATACACAGAATCTCAAACTGGTGATGTAGGGACCAAAAAAGCACCGAATTGTAACCACTGCCTATCCCTTCACTTCCTGTTTAACTGAGAAATGTTCTCTACAAAACCATTAGTTGGCCTCTGCTGAACTTTGCTGGAACATACTTTATTTTTAACTCCTAGATGGTGAGTAGAAGACTCCTGCAAATTATGTATGATACAAGAAGACCTTGCTTGTCACTACACAGTAAGAAAAATTAGGATGCTAACAGCTTAATTCTTATGTTGCTGCTTAAAGAATAGAGTCCCCCTTTGATTCCCAGTATTGTATCCACAGAGGGGAAAGGAAGGCAGCTGATCAGGTGAATGCTTGTCCTGACAAAGGTAGGCATAAATAAATATCCTGCAGTTGGGAGGTGGCTCCCTTTTCTAGTGGCCAAGATGGAAAAAGCAAGCAGTATAAATTAATTAACTATGACATACAATACTGTAAATTCAGCAAATGGAAGCCCACTTAGTACAGACAATGCTCTATGAACCAGCAAGTGGAAACCCCCTATCAGGTCTACAGTGCCAACAGGCCATGACTGCCAAAGGGAATAATCTTTGGATACCAATAAGTACCATGGTTCTAAGTGCTAAAGATAGCTGAAAGATTGGGAAGAAAGACTTAAGCAGTACCACAGGCACTCTAGGACCTTTACTGGTTACAGAGGGGGACCCATCATAGGCTATTTATTTATTGGCTGCTCTTCAGTCGTAGGGTTTGAAGCAATCCTAACATGTAGACTCTTGTGCCTTAATCCTGCTGATCCGAAAGAGAAACTGAGAATATGCCCCTTCTTTCCTTTGCTCAAAGTTGTTCACATCTGGATCAGATTTAAGCAGTGGGAGTCTCAGATGTTGCATGCCTGGATCCTAGCATGGAATAACAAGATTTGAGGAAGAAAAGGAGCTTTATGTGGAAAGGCTTTCATACAGAACTCTAGAAAAAACAACATTAGGCATGTCTCTCTGATCTTAGTGTGCTTAGGAAGTGTGGCAGATGAAGCAACAGATGAATGTCTTCCTCCCAAATCAACCCCCCCACCCCCCAAAAAAAAACAAAACAAAAAAACCCCAACCCAACAACAAAAAAAACATTTAAAGTGCCAAGCACTGAGTGGAAGAAGAGTTACATCTTAAACTCAGGAGACTTGATTTGCACCTTATCAGCTGGTACTGTACAGGAATGCCATCTCTGAAAAACAGAAATAGGGGACGGTAAAAATCAATGGCTAATAGGCAACCATTGATCCATGGTGTACTCATAAGAGGTCTATTCAGGTGTCTGATGAATCTGCTTGCACACAGTCCTGCAATTATCACGCTAAGACCTTCAATGCATACACCTCAGCGAAAGTACGGAAGAGTGGAAGATGCTCAAGACATATCCATTCCCACTTTAGACCACTGAGACGAGAATCCAAAGACCAGACCAAATCCAAATGTTTAATGCCTCGATGACTGTAGCTTCTGCCAGAGAGCAACAGATGAAAACTGCTGCTGACTACCTAATGCCTCAGCAAGGGAGCTTTTGTGAGGTCCCTTAGCCTTTCTCTAGCTAAGAAATTACCCACAGGGCAGTCGCAACTAGGGTTTTGAGGTGCCTTATACTGACCTCACTCTGGAGGTTATAACACTGTTATTTTATAGGAGCTACCCTACCAAAAGTAGGCCCACCGTGTTGCCACCAGGACCTCCAGTCAGATGCTGTTCATGATCATATCCAAAAATCAATGGCCAAACTGTATCCAATCACTAACAGCAAGAAAACCACAGATAAACAGGCAAACACTGCCACGGGTTCTGTCTTGCTGCCACAAGTGCTAATAAAACCTGTGACACATTTAGCTCATTCCATTCTTTGTGCCCTTGTGTAAACAGTCACTAGGACAGTTACAGCACAGGTATGGCCCTAATGAAACCTGATGTCCAAAGGAATCCAGTGCTGGTCACATGTACTTCAAGGGTGGAATCCACATAGACAACTATTTGAAGAAGTTGCTCATAATGTATTCTCCAGGAATAAAATTTCACCCATGGAAACTGATTAGGCTACTGCTTTTATTTGTTAAGAGAGGGACAATAAAACAGCTTTTCTGAAACTGGAATTACACTCACCTTGGCATCAAGTATATAGCTGAACTAAAAAAAAAATACACAACCTTCCCATAGCTTTCAGTAAGAGTCACGTTTGAACACTTTCTGGCAGGCTACAGAAACTGCTGTAGCCTTTAAAGAATGGTTTTCTAGTAGCAGTATGCTTGCTTGTAATCAGCAAGTCTGAAAACAAAGGGCAATTTGTACAAGCAGCTCCTGTAATAAGATAGGACCAAAGGAGACTCTCTCTCCCAGTATAAACAATGTAGCCTTTAGATGGATTGCAACCAATTCAGGTAACAATTGAACACATATCTCAGAGCAGGTACAAGAGGATTGCAGACAAACTAGAAAGACTCCAGAGGATAGCAACAAAAATGATTGGAAGTCTAGGAAACATGATTATGAAAAAAGGTTGGAAGAACTGGAATTATTTAGTTGAGAAAGACTTTCAGTCTTCAAAGACTGGAAGAGTGGTTGTAAAGAAGGCGATAGACAATTCTCTGGGGTGAAAGGGGACAGGATTAGAAGTAACGGTTTTAAATTGCAATAAGGGAAATTTAAATTAGATATTATGAAGAACTTTACCGCTATGAAGGTGATTCAGCACTGGACTAGATTACCTAGAGAAGGTATGGAATCCCCATCCTTCGAAATGTTTAAGAGTGGCTGGAAAAACAAAGTTAGAGAGGCTCGATCCTGCCTTGAGCAAGGGGTTGACTAGATGACTTCCTGAAGTCCCATCCAGCCCTTTTTCCAGGATTCTAAGATCAACAGAAGCAAGCCAGCATTATAATAGGATGATCATATTATCATTCAAATGTAGGCCACAGTCACTTTCTAGTCAGGCTCTGTACGAGGCATGTGGGGCAATTTCATCCAGTTTCAGCGTTGGTGCCCCAGCTGCAAACCAATGAGTTAAGTAGAGGCAGTACTACAGTGGTTCTCAACTGAGGTGCTGCAAAATTAAGAAAAAACAATTATTGATGGGTGCCTTGGATCTAGAATTGTGAACCACTGTTCTTGGCAATATAAATAATTAACTTTATTTTCTTTGTTTGTTTGTTTGTAAGTTTAGCAGTTAATGGATTTGGGAAATTAGTGAAAAAGCAAAATCAATACATGATGTTGTTGCATCCATGATTTTTATTTCAACAACTTTTCTTATAACTGCGTAAAGGAAATGCATTGTAGAATCTTTTTGTAAAAAATAAAGAGGACTCTAATATGGGAACTCTGTACAGGCTTTGCTATGAATTTTTTATGAGAAGTGGGGAGAGGGGTCTGTTTTTACAAGTCTTGTGTCTTAGCAAAGGTCATAATTGTTTGTGTTTGCCAAGCAGTCAGAGGCCCCAGATCAATGGCTTACTGTGCCAGGCAATTTATACATTTATAGTCTCTGCCCTGACCAGTTTAAAGACAGAAATCTAGGAAATGTTTCCATGAAATTTTAAAGAACACAAGAGAGTGACACATGGTCCAAGTGCACACTTTGCTGACAAGCAAAGATAACAGGACCAAGGAAGGAGAAGGATATATTTCTGTCACCTAGGACATACCATCAGGCTATGCATGTACAGCAACCAGCTGCCTCCCATCTCATCCCATAGATGTAAGTATGTCTGTCAAAAAGATCTTATGTACAAATCCAAGAAGGCAATTTCAAAAAGGAGGGCCCAATTTGTTTTTTATTCATTTAAAACCTTAAATCAATTGTTGGTAATGTAGCTCCTCCCTTCTTTAGGTATTTGAGTCTCTGTGATCCTTTTCTTTATCCATTTCTGATCCCTCTTCTCCTCCCCTAATCAGGCTCTTCCTGGAAAAATAATCCATACTTTCTGAATCTATGTAAATAGAGAAAAATTTGGTTCACAAATAACCACCATGCATAAGCATTCTTAAAAGTTTCCATGAAGTGTAAAAAAAAGGAGGGGGTGGATTTTTTTTTTAAAAGAGCTCAACATTGGTTTAACTTTGTTTCCCATTGAAGTTAAGAGGATTATTATATTCTACTTTAATGACGAGGATAAACTGACAGTGAGTGCTGCTTTAGATCCCAGCCAAACTGTAGAAAATAAAAGTAGCAGTAGTGTATTGAAGCCATCCACACACACACATACGCCCCCCACCTGCCCAAAATGGAAAACCCTGCAATGTTAGTATGAAAACAATTGCATGGATCATAAGTATCCTACAATTAATACTCCAGCATTGGACTCAATGGTTAAATACCCAGCTAAATACTGACCAATGATCACACCCACTGTAAAGGTATTTATCTTTCTGTCACAATGAAAATTCAACTTACATTCTGAGATCACAGTATTAATAAAACACTGCCTTAAGCAGTACCAGATAACTAAGTTTAAACCTAGCAGCTGTTCAGATGGGTCTAAACCCTTTTTCCTCTGACAGACAAGTTCGGACATTTAAACCCCAGTCTAAAAAAGATACAAAATGCAAAGTTATAAGTAGTACAGTACATCAGAAGAAATACTAAGTCCTCTGTATTTTATAAAATTATAAATCTTTATAAAAGATTAGTTTTACTCATGCACATATTACATCATATATATATATATATATTTTAACATGAATAAATACATACCGATTTTGAAAATATATAATAATAAGACTGGTTCAAAGATTTCCAATGCCCCTTTTTACAAAAGAAAGCCAATTTTACAATTTATATATTATATTTCCTTTGTGAAGTCATACTTACCATCCGAAAAATCTAACCTAATATCCAGTTCAGCTCCCTGCAACTTAACTGAATTCTATTAAATATTCAGGATAGATTTGGTTGGCATCAAAGATAACAAAGATCTTCGGATTCCAAGTGTTATCCACACAGCTGTCATATAAGTTCACAAAACTCCCATCTTTTGAGGGAGGCCTTACGTATTTTGGTTCGCCATTGATATAGTCACCAGTTAATACACGGGCAAGAAACATGACTTTATACGTTCTTAACAGATGGCGCTGAAAGTTCACACCATGAATCTGAAAAGTGTCTCCATGTTTCATATCTTCTTTGCAGAACCGACTAGAGTATGAAGCATCTTTTGCAAAATATGTCCCTTAAAAAAAAAAAAAAAAGAAATTGATGATCATGTTGTCATCAGTTATACAATTCTAGGTTGTCCAATTCTGATCCTACTTTCTTTAAATGTCAAAATGGTAACAGTTAAGAATCAAACCCTGGTCTTTTATGCTTGTATGTCAATCCAACTAGCTTAAAAGAATTACCATATTTACTCGAATTTAAGACAACCATGAATTTAAGATGACCCCCACATTAAGACAATTAGATTCTATACATGAAAAAATTATGTTTGTTATAATTTTCCATGTACAGAATCTAATTATTCGAGGGTCATCTTTAATTCATCCCTCAATACTGCAGGGGGGCAGACAGTGGGGATGCAGGTGCTATGGGGAGGTCAAACAGCTTGACCCTTGCTTGTGCCTGTTCCCCTGCCATCTCTGTCCCCACAGCCTCAGGCCCCTGCTTCCCCCTCTGCTTCTCCCCCCTACCCAGTCTCTGCTCCCTCCACCCCTCCCCCTTACCTTTGCTATGTGCAGACAGGCACCATCCCTGTTCTAGCTTGGGAAACAGAGCATGGCCCCAGCCCAGCCCCTGCAGTAGCCATGTGGACTTTGTGTTGCTGCTATGGGCCAGGCCCAGTGCCCCAGGCTGCAGCATGGACAAAGCCTCCAAGCATGGAACAAAGGTAGAGTGGGACAGGGGGAAAAGACTGCAGAGGTAAGATGGAGGGGTACGGGAACAGTTGGGGGGAGGGCATGCAACAGCTGTAGGTATGGCCCTGACTCTCTATAGAGGCTGCAGCCTGAGCTGCAGTGGTTCCCCCTCCCCCCCTCACTTGTGCATGATTCTAAGATGAAGGTTTCCCTCCCATGTTAAATGGGGCAGAGGTGACTTTGTCTTAGAATTAAGTAAATACCAAATATTAGTGGAGCACACCAAGATTTTAAGGCGTGAACATTATAAGAAAGACTGCCTCACAAACTACCTCACACTGCATGCCAATTCAGTTACGGAAACTATAAGAACTGCATACAAAGAGCCTCCAATCATTGTGCTAAGTTTAATTAAAAACAGTTAAAAGTATGGAACTAAATTGAACAGGTCTCCATACACATGCAACAAATACCTCATGCAAACCAAAGTATGGGAAACACTGCACTACAATGAGATAAAGAAGATTGACAAATGTACTATTCAAATTACATGGCTGGTAAAAATGTCATATTTTACCCTTTCCATATATGGAAGCATGCATGCCATTTATTCTCCAATCAAAGTTATGAATGCATATTGCTTCTACAAATTCATTGCTAGTGCCATGAAATAACATGTGCTCATTAATGGCAGGAACATTTCTTTTCTTCTTTAGCTGAGCTTTCTTCCTGCAAAACAAGCACAAGAAAAACTTTTGTAATCAAAATGAAGCTAATTGTATTTCCAAGATGGAAAAGCTACTCCAACAGTTGAAGAATTTAAGAGCTAAAATTCAAAGTCACAAAGTTACCCAATCAGAAAATGACTGAGACTAGGAACAGTTGCACATAAACGGGTTTAAGTAATCAGGAGCAGGTTTAAACCTGCAACAGAAGTTCAGTGTACTTAAACCACTTTCAAAATGGCCAAAACTAATTTAAAATAAACCTGATTGGATGTAGTATCAGACTTAACGGATTTAAGTCAAACCGGCTTATGGAGCTTCTGTCCCAGATCCAAGAGTTAAATATCGAAGCAGGTGTTGAATATTCAACATCAGAATTTTTACGCAGATTAAACAAAAATACGCCAAGAATGATTTAGGTATAGGTGATCCTGTCTTGGGTAAGAAGGGTGGATTAAATGAATTTGAGAGGTCCCCTCCATCCCAATTTTCTGTGGTTCTAAACGTTGATACTATTCTTCCATCAGTTCAGACCTCTGCCATTTAAGATTACTTTAACATGACATACAAAACATTTATTTTTGGAAGTACTTAATATAGAATTATTGCAAGTAAAACCCAATATTATTAAACAGAAAAAAATACCTCTTTTTCTTCTAATGGTCTTTTGTCCATTTGACAGCCCTTTTGGTACAGTAAGTCATTACTCATAACCAGGAGTAGGCCAGGAGGCATGAGCCCCAGACATTTATGGGTGCCAGAATGGACAGAGGGGTTTTGAGGCTTCAGCAGCCATAGGCTCTGGCTGCACAGAACAGAGGAGTCAAGGAGTTAAACCTACTGCCTGCCCCTGACCTCTCCTCTCCTCTCCTCTCCAGCAGACACCATGAAATTAAAGGATTTATATCATCAGTCAGCATGGGACTTGGTGACAGTTGTGGGGACATGGGAGCAGGACAGGCAAGAAGCTGAATTATTTGGCTAGGGGAGACACCATTCCCTGCTCCAAGTAGCCAGAGTTTTTAGATGCTGAGAGTCTTGAGGCCCCCCCACTCCCTGGGTCCCACAAACCAGTTGGAGCCTATAGCTGCCCAGGATGCAAACCCTACCTATATCTCTGTGGTAACTTTCCGCAAATGGTCTTTCACAATGAAAGGAAAAAAATTAAAAAGGAAAACACAGGATCAAGTAATGTGTTCTACTGACGAACAAGGCAAAAAAAAAATAATTTTTTAAATAATTAAAAATAGTATGTTCATTCCAATAAAAAATTTTAACCAACAGTCTTCAAAACTTAACTGCCTATTAAAAAAATAAAATTAAATGGATACCAAATAAAAGAGTTTTAGTTCAGTAGCTGAGATTCGTCTTAAAACCAGTAGCCCACAAGAACCACAGTGCCACTAAACAACACAAACATCCAAAAATTATTTAGGTACAAAATTTATGTGGTATTTACAGCAAAGGTCACTTAGTATATACCACAGGCCTAGCTGTGCCATCAGAGCCACACTTATGGGTTTCACAAGATTTGAGAAAGGTGATCAAGAGAACACCTGTGATAAGGAGTGAGTGCATATATTTCCTTCCCCAATTCTCTCAGTCATAGAATCATAGAAAATCAGGGTTAGGAGGGACCTCAGGAAGTCATCTAGTCCAACGCCCTGCTCAAAGTAGAACCACCCCTAACTGGATCATCCTAGCCAAGGGTTTGTCTAGCTGGGTCTTAAAAATCTCTAAGGATGGAGATTCCACAATCTCTTAGCACCTGTTCCAGTGCTTTACTAGTGAGAAAGTATTTCCTAATATCTAACCTAAACTTCCCTTGCTGCAACTTGAGACCATTGGTCCTTGTTCTGTCATCTGTCACCACTGAGAACAGTCTAGCTCCATCCTCTTTCAAGCCACCCTTCAAGTAGTGGAAGGCTGCTAGTAAATCCCCGCTAGGTCTTCTCTTCTCCAGACTAAACAAGCCCAGTTCTCTTAGCCTCTTCTCATAAGTCATGTGCCCCACGCCCCTCACCATTTTCTGTAACCTATCAGCATCATCCAGTCTTTTCTAGTTGAGTTTCAAACAGCTGAAAAAAAAAAAAAACTTTCATCCAAAGACTCATTCCCACTAGGCATCCAGCAAACCAGTTAACCTTTCCAACTAAATCTGTTGAAACAGACACAAAACTGAGATTTAACCACTACACTGATGGTGAACCCTTCTTCCCACCCATAATTTATTTGTCTGTATAATGACAGGAACAGAATCTTGCAGCAACTGGCCTAAAAGATAAGAATTTATTTCTTTTTCCACAAAACCGAGTCAATGTAGACAACTCTGATGTCAGCTCAATATGGTATCTGGAGTGGGAAGACAGAATGCATCTACTACAGTCCACAGCAATAAATAATCTGCCCTCTAAAGAGTTGAGTACTACCTATTATTGAACTAAGCCTACAGTCATTACTCTCTCTTACTAAAAATACACAACAACTATAATATTCAATCACTAACGTAAGAGCTTTTATGACAGAAAAACTAACATTATGGTGGCCAAAATGCATAATGAACAAATTGTGTCAGAAAGTGCATACTGTTTGTATTCAGCTACTTATCTCCTCAAAGAAACAATATGCTTTTTTTTTGGAAGAAGTAGAAGAAAAAAAGATGTAATTCTTGTTCTCAAATGGCACAGTATGTGCAGCAGTGCCAGGGAGGTGGTTTTCTGGGGGGGGGGAAAAAAAAAGCCAGAACAGGTTTTTTTTAGTATTCAAGATCATATATTTAATGAGCTTTTAATGACTCTAAAGATATCAGTGTCCTGAATCCTCCTTTTTCCCCCATCATCAATCACAGATTAATACATGTTTTTAAACAGAAATCAAGTTTTTACCCAGCAAAGCAGGCTTGTATTACAGCAGTGTTTTCTGCTTGCTCTGCTCTGCTCCTCTGGAATGTGAGCTTTCAAAGCTGCAAACTCAAACACTAGAAATTCTGGACATGCTAAGGTTTACCGCATATCAACCAGTTAGTTACCCCATACAGGGTACAGGGGCAACCATCTCTCTCTCTCTCCAATAGAGATGTCACAAGGAGTCTGGAATCCTTCTCTGTATCACAGGCTTCTGGAGAATGTTCACTTTATTGCTGATGAGGTCCACCTGCTCCTAATGACTGGGTAAGAGACACAAGATGGCTTATTTCACCCCAGACATACTTGGATGGATAGGCAGCAGCTGACCTTTGAAGATTGCTGCCAGCACCCTACACCCACCTCTGTACTGAAATAACCATACTTTATAACATTATATTAGATTTCTATTCCTGAATTCATGCTTCCAAGAATATAAGAGTGGAAACTTGGCAACTTTAGAGCACAATCTACCACACTGAAGGAATAAAACAACAGACCCTGCTGCACATCAATTCCTTCTCTAAGCAAAAAGTTAGAGAAATATAAAAAACATATCTGCACCAAGAACTCAGTAGTGAACAAAGTTACACTATAATTTGCCAACAGTTATTATTCACAAGACACTAGAAGTTACCTTACAGTTACGTACTGTACTCACCTCTACCAAAAATTGGGAATAAAAAAATTAGGGGAAGGAAGTGTGTTGTTTTTTTTTTCATTCTGCCTTCCCAAAACACAGTGCATGGCGTATTTAAGGGCATATGGTTTGTAAATAAATATGGTAAGTAGCCTATAACAATGGGGAAACCTTGTTTATAGAACTCTTGAAGCAGCAAAATGGCTATCTTTTTTTTATATACATATTTATACATTTAAATATACTCCGTACAAATAGGTATAACAATAGATTAAGACAGAAGAGTGACCCATTCAAAAGACTGGAAAATGAGAAAATTAAGACTGAACATGCAGCCATAACTCATCATCATTTATTTGAAAAGTAAATTGTGATGAATATTTACAACAAACACACTGTACAATTAATTTTTTTATCTTAATATTATTCTTTACATTGATCTAATTCTCAGAATAATCCAATATATCTTTATGCTGCCCCTTATACATTTCTTTTTTAGAGTATGCACCTGCACCTCTAGGGGCAACACTGTAATAATTATTTATGGTTCAAAAGAGCTAAGGCTAACCAGGGAAAAGAGGAGGGAACAAAATTCAGGAACTTTTAATTCTTTTAGCACTGTTCAATACATAGTGGGAGAAAAAAGCGGGGTTCCTCCCCAACCAGAAGAAGCTTTAGTAATACACTGAGTCTCAATTTATGGTGTAGAACTGTATCCAATACACATCACCCTACACTAGGTTTCATGATAAGAAGCTAATGGTAAGCATCATTAAGTTCTATACCCAGAAAATATTAGGATCTGTGACAGGAATACTGCCATATATACAATGCAAGCAAATAACAATTAGACAAATGAAGAAAGAGTTGATGGAGAAAGGATGCCAACACTAAACAAATATTTAAAATACATGCACTTGAATGCTTCTGCTACATTCCTTTAAAATTTGTTCAATTAACTGACTTTACTCAACATTTATTATTTTAGAGATAATCTCACCTGCAATAAAACTCCCACAAGTCTAGGTTTTGAATTCTCTGAATTCTTTTAATTCGGTTGCTATCCATTGTTTTCGCAAAGAAACCAGAAACCTCATTATACTCATTTGTCTGTTTTTGCAAAGGAATAAGCTGCATGTGGGAAGGAGGAAGGAGAGAGAGAGAGAGAATAAAAAGGTTAGTATTTTCATTGAGGTCCGTATTCCTTCATCCTGCATGGATGTATACATTTTACATTTTTCAAATCATATCTTATCTCTTACCTGATATGGTTCATCTGTATTTACATTCTCCCAGTGTGGAGGCATCGGAATAGCCTCGTTTTCACAGATGTAACTTCAAACACAAAAGAAAAAGTAAAAATAAATGACTCAAGAGCTGAAGCTATTTCTTCCTCCTACAGAATTCCTACTTTGTAAAATATTTTGTACAGAATGGATAATTTAATAGGTAATTCGGTCTTGAAGTAGAATTCAAATTCAAAAGATGTTTACAGTCAACTACCAGGGACAAAAGCAAGAGATCTGCTAAAACCACCACCTATAGTTAACACCTGGGTGAATCACTACAAAAATGTTTCAGTGCCATGCTGTGTTTTTTTAGAAATAAAACAGTTTTACTGTGGAACTCATCCAAATTCGAATACAATATTGGAGGGCAGTAATAATAAGTTTTACCATGATCCAGCTACACCAAATGCTAAAAGTTAGGCATCCATAGATATTGATTTAGAAGCCTATGTGGTCTGCATTTTTACAGAAAACTGGGAGCTGCTTAGGGTCAAACCCCCTGACGGTTAAGCCATTGTTTAAATGCCAAACTATGTAGGTAGAGCTTAAAATAATTGATTTATCAATTTATTACACAATTTATTTTAAAGCACTAAAATGGTACAACAATATAGAAAAAGAAGAGGACCAACAGGACACATGGAGTGCTAAATATAAACACGTGGAGCGAAAAAAAAAAAAGCATTTATATCTTCTGTAGCATACTGTTTAATTCTCTCAGCTGTTCTGCTACTAGCATTCTCTGCTTCAGAATGCAAGCCAAAGAGGCAGTTGCAAAATGGAAATGCCCACTATTGTATTTACCCGAACCCAAGATGACCCTGAATTTAAGACAACCCCTCAATTTGTTATAATTTTCCATGCATAGAATCAAATTATTGGAGGATCATCTTAAATCTGTCCCAACCA